GCCCATCTTCCTACTCACTGGCCACGGCGGTTTACGTAAGAGGAGCCTGTTGCTGAGCAAAAAAATAAGTGATGTAGCTTCGCCTCAAAAGAGACATTAGCACTGCGAAGGTACGGGGAGACTTTGGGTCAAAAAATGAAGAGTACAACATCCGTTTACGTATTCAGTTTCAGCTGAATGTTAGGCTCCGTCTTCAAGCTTTTAAATTAATGGATGCAACCACCTTTCTTGTACACCTCCACCTCTTCCTGCACTGTTAGGTACTTTAACAACAGTAACACTATAAATTATAATTACAGGCTTTTGAGCACTTAATCGGCATCAAGCCTTGTTCTCTCATCCTCACAACAGCCCCAGTGGAGGTAAACTTTATTGCCCCATTTTACACAGCAGGGAACATGTTCAGATGTTCAGAATGGACTTGTGACTTGACCAGGTTCACACAGCTAGAAAAGCTTAAAACTGGAACCTTACACTTTGATATCCTATCCCAAGTACAACTTTTTTGAGGGGAGGGATAGGGAAATCTTAAAGGTAGGAACAGATAGGTCAGGATGGTAGCAAGGGTCAGGTGCTTTGCTCCAGGGACAGCCTCAGGGTGTTTGACATCGCGGTGTAGGGCCCCTAGAAGTGGAGAGGAGAAATAGAGAGGAAAACACCAGAACAAAGACAGTTGTTCTTCCTGGAAATGTGTAACTCCTGGAGCAGCCTCTTTTGATACAAGTGGCCCTGGACTGAGGGTCTGGACCCCAGGGTTCTAGTCTCCGTTCTGTGACCAACTCTCTGGATCTCAGGCTTCCTGCCCTTAAAAGGCAGTAGTAAGCCAAAACAGTGGGAAGTGCATTCATGCTGAGAGTTTGGGGGGAGTCTGGCCCATGTTGGCAGCAGGAGAATCTTCAGCAACAGCAACCACACGATCTTTACTTAGCTGTTGCCTGGCCTCTTTTCAAGACCTTCAGTCAGCGACATGGGACCTGAAAATCCTATAAACTCAAAACGGTTTGCGGCGGCCCTAAATCCATGCTTGTTCCCAGTCTGTTCTGAACTGTAGCATGGTCCTGCCTGTAGGGGGCGCTGAGGGCACACTCAGCAACAAAGCCAAATAGGGATTCTTAGTGAATTGTTCAAAAGCACTAAGCTGGTCAGTTTTTGTATTTGATTTATTTTTTTAAGAGGGGTGAGCTTTTTGAAACCTGATTTCTGTCCTCATATACAATTGATGAAACCGAATTATATTTATTACCCAACATCATCCTCTCCACAGTGGCTCTAGAGGGTTAGAGCTAATTTCCTAATCCTTTGTTTTACAGATGAGAAAACAGATTCTAAGGGCTGAAAAAAAAATCTCTCAGCTAAAAACATAGCTAAAAACTAGGACTCCTGGGCAATGCTCTTAAGAGATAGCTGGCTCTCTTTCTGAGAGTCTGTGGTTGTTCTGCTCCCTGATGCACAATTCCAGGGGGCAATTTCAATTTTAATTGTGTAGCTCCACAGCTCAGCACCTGTCAGCTCTGGAGGACTTTCCTCAGCACCTAGCACAATGCCTGCTTAATGAGTGATTGAGTGGAAGGATGTGTGAATGAGCCACAGAGGGTGAGTCTGCTTTGGCTTTATTAAACCTGTTGGAGTTGGGCTTCTTTCCTGAGAGCTCCCCCAAGGCAAGAGTGGTACCCTGAGATGGTAGGGGGAGAGTGTGGTGAGAAAAATAAGAAGAGCTCAGAAAATTACATCTGGGTGATAAATCACAGCCCCAGGTACAGTCAGAGACAAAGTCATTATAGCAAGGTGATCCCGTAATTTGCAATTAGAAAATTGATTCAGAAAGAATAAACACAAAACAGATGAGACCTCCATTAGGGTTAAAATCTGAGAGAGGGTCTGAAACTGAGGAAATTAAAAACATTTCAAATCCAATCTAGATGTATCTTTGAAACAGGAATGTGATTGAGGGATAATAAAGGCTTTGACCAATCAGTAGCCTCAGCATGGCTGATGCAAGAGAGTATGGCAACAGAAGGTGGAGATCTTTACTGAGCCAAAAATACTAGGCATAGGAGAGGGGAGGAGTAAACTCAGCCAGTGTCACTGCATCGCGACCCACTGGGCTGGAAACTTTACTGGCTGGATTTCCAGAGTCCAGGTACGTGCTAGATGGTCAATAAATATTTACTGAATGAAAGGGAAAAGGAAGAATCCGGAGCACTGACCAGCAGGTTTGCTCTGCATGGAGCCAGTTCAATGATTTGCCTTTTTATTGGTTCATTCTGCTCAGATTCTAGCTACCCTAACCACCTTTGGATGATAACTTGGCTCTTCATGGAGATTCTCCTAATAAAAAGGCATGTTCTGGCCCATCAATTATAAGCAATTGACAGTTGTGTTTCTCACTCCCGATAAATATATTGGAATTCTGCTTTACACATTAGTTCCTTGTGTCAGCCTGCTTCTTACATATTCAGCGCTTTCTCTCATCAGTAGTGCAGTGGAGTTTCTGTTTTAGAGTTATTGCTGCCTGAGTTTGAATCTTTACTCAGCATATTACTAAGCTGTCTGACCATGGCCAAGACACCTCTTGAGCCTCCGTTTCCTCATATGTCAAGTAGGGGCATGATGCCTACTTCACGAGGTTGGGGTGAGAATTACATGAATAACAGATGTACCCTGAACTATTGGTAGAGATCAGCAAATGCAGTATCTGTGCCTCTTTTGAGCTCTACTTTCTTGGAGACTGGGTCACAAAAGCTTATCCAATTTAGAATGTCAGTATTGCTTTTCCTTTTCACAAAACCACTAACTTTGTAAGTAAAGCCTTGGAAATGATTTAGTCACTTCCTTGAAGATTCTAAACTTTAGAATCTAACCCTTTAGAATCTAATGGGTTATTCTACAGAGGAGAGTATTCGTATTCATTCACTCAAAAATACTGTATTCGCTGAGGAATCACTACATGATAGTGGGGAGTACAGAGACAACCAGACACAATCCCTGCTTTAAAGGAGCTCTGACACAGCCTGTTGCAATCAAAAGAAGATATTATATGACCCTGATACAAAGTTTTACTTTTTATTAAAAACTGATTTTAGAGAAATGGGATGGGGGAAAGAGAGAGAAACATCAATTACTTGTTCCACTTATTTATGCATTCAAGGGTTGATTCTTGTATGTTCCCTGACCTGGAATTGAACCTGCAATCTTGATGTATTGGGATGATGCTCTAACCAACTGAGCTACCCAGCCAGGGCTACCCTTCTAACCAAGCTCAAGTTTCTTCCCTTTGACACCTAGTAGGGGGAGAGGGGTTAGGGCATGGAGGGATTGAGCAAAAAGCAAAAAGGATTCATGGACATGCACAACAGTGTGGCGATTGCTGGGGGGAGAAGGGTATAAAGGGACTAAATGGTAATTGGAAAAATGCAATAAAGATAAAAAAAAGTGGTCAATAACATATTCCATTGTTTGTTACGAGGGAAGCAGTAGGGGATGTAGACATAACAAGTGTGCACCAACTTGAAGACCTGTAGTATAAAGAGGCAGAAACAATATGTTGAGGAGTAGGTGAGAGGACTTTCAGCTGAGCTGAAGAAGCAATGTTTTCTGTAGGAAGTGTCATTTTGAAGCCTTCATTCAGGCCACAAATACAAATAAAGGCATTGAATGCTTGGTAGAATTTCAATGGGCAGAGGATTGCAGAGGGAAGTACTGGAAGAAAGGCTTGAAGACCACAACATTGTGCTAGGTGGCATATGGCAGAAGACAAGCATATCAAGGTGTGGACCCTGCCTTCAAGGAGCTCATAAATCAAAAGCGTGAGATAAGACATATACACAAAAAAATGACACTACCAGGTAGATAGCGGTGGGTGTTATAAAGGAGACCCAGCTCAAGTACCTTGGGAGCTCAGCAGAGGGTGAGATTAATTTCCTTCTGTTGGAGGCAGGAGACCAAGTCATAGGTTCATCTTTTTAATTATAAGCCTAGACTCAGAGGGGGACCTTGAAGGTCATTGAGTCCACCCACAAACCAGCCATGATTCTCTACCCCAAGTCAACTATGACTTTAAAATTGAAACAAAAAAAGTGGAGCTCTGAAGAAAAACTGTGAAGGAAGAGGATCTGTGGGAAGGGGACAGAAGATGAATTCCGCTTACAGGTGCTGAGGACCTGGTGGATGCAACCATTTGCGAGGGCAAATGGAGAGTTGAAGGCCACAAAATGGATGAGATCAGGGAGGGAGAGTATGTCTGGAAAGATGAGGGATAAAAACAGAAACTAGGGTAACACCCACGTTCCAGGGGGTGGGAGAAGAAAGAGGAGTCAGAGAAGGAGTGGCGGGAGAAAGAAGTGAGGAAAGAGCTTGGAGACTGTCTTGTTACAAAGTTTCTAGAAAGGGGTAGCAGGGACGGAACAAAAGACCTGAGGCCCAAGAGAGCAGAGGGGGACAACTGCCTGCCGCAGTAGGGATTGAGGTTAGACTGGGAGTTGCCGAGAGTAATTCAATGAATTGAAGGCTTTTCCAGAGACTCTACAGGTGGATTCTTTGTGTTTGATACATTTTAAGGTGGAGGTCCTCCAGAGGCCAGGGGAACTGGGCTGTGCCGGGGTCGGCCTCTGTAATTAGCACCACCTCTTCTAACCCTAACCAGTCCCTCCAGGAACTGAAAAGATAAAGAACGTAATTAGGAGGGATTTCACACCCGGCTCTCTGGCCCAGCCCGGTGAAGTCCCGCTGCATCACGCAGCTGTAATGACTCTCGGGGCTGTCACTCTCGTCCGGTATTGCCAACAGTGACAAAATCCTTTTGCAAAAGTTTGCAGCATTCGTCGGGGGATGACTACAGCTCCCAGAGTTCCCGGGCGCTTCTCCGTGTGGATTGGCTAAGCCGTCGGCTCCTGAGGGGGTGTCGCCCCGCCTCTCCAGGAAACAGACATCTGATTGGCTGCGGCGTGGGGCTTTTGTGTCCCCGCCCTCCCTACGGGAACGCAGTGAGCTGAGCTGTGCTGCCGGTGTCAGACCTGGGTGAGCGCTGGCAGTTCCGCGGCGGGGATGCTGAGGAGCGGTGGGTCCGCGAGCAGCCGTCGCCACTGCGGACTTCAGAAGCACCCTGGGCCGTGAAAACCCGTGCGCCGCGGCCGATCCCAGGCTTCTGAGGCCATTCATCGCTCCAGAAGCTGGACGAGAGGAGAGTCCAGCGAGGCAGCGGCCGTTCCCGGATTCTGGGCTCTCGGAACGTCCTGGAACCTTGAGAGAGAGAGCCCGGGGTTCTAGAACCTCCCCAGCGGCCCCCAGTCCCGGCTTCCTGCGTGCGTCCGTCCACTACACCCTCCAGTGCACTGGTCGTCGGCGAGCCGCGGCTGGGTCCTGGCGCACACCATGATCGTTGCGGACTCTGAATGCCGCGCGGAGCTTAAGGGCTACCTGCCGTTCTCCCGGGGCAGCGGCGGCGGCCCTGGGGCCGGAGAGGTAAGCAGCAGCCGAGCCACGCCACTTTTACGTTGAACCGCAAGCTGCGTCCGAGCTTCGGGCTAGCCTGAGCCGAGTCGGTGCGCCGCCACTCCCCCTCCCCCCCCTCCGCCCTCGGCTCGGGGAGGGACAGTGGACCGCGTAAACCAGGAGAGGGGTTGCATCAACTGGAAGCCTCGGTCCTCTCCGCCCCCTCCCCTCCCCTCCCCCCAGGACTGTGGAGCCCTCCTGGGCTCCCTCGGACTCCTGGCCAATGAGAGGAGAGTCTGCTGGAGGTTTCCTTAGGTTTGGGCTCTGGTGGAGAGAGTCGTCAAGTCCAGGCAAATCCCGGCCGCGGCGGCCCAACCACTCCTCCTCTCCGCCCCCTTCCGCAGATTCCCTGCCTCTGGGCTGGGGCTGGCGCTCAGAACACTCTTTCTAGGTAGGGTACGTCCCCTCTCCAGTCCCCCTAGCGCGGAGAATGAGGCACCTGGGACTGACCAACAAAGGTTGACCTCGTCCTCCACCCCCACCTGCACCCCGATTTGGAAAGGGGGTTCGGGTTCCGGGCCTTAGCTGACTGGCGGTACGCGGCGGCGGCGGTGGCCAAAGCTCTGGGGAGAGGGCGAAAACCCTGGCCACCGCTCCAGAACCAAGCGCGGATTAGGCTGTGCCCTTCTAAGTGGTCGGAGGTGTCACAAGTTTGTTTAGCAGGGACTCCTTTTGCAGTGAGACTGGGAACTAGGCTGGGCCTAATCTGGCAATTCGCCTTCCCCAACTCCATCTCCACCGCCGTCGATAATGAACATCTTATTTATAAAGCACCTACTAGAAGTCAGCCTCGGGTTTTGCCTTTTCTCTGAGTCCTCAGGACTAAACTAGCAAAATACGAACTATACTGCTAAGTCCCATTTCACAGGTTGACAAAATTGAGGTCCTGGAGGGACTTTGGAGAAGCTGCCTTCACTAACCCCACAGAGTAGCTCAATTTTTGGCCTGGATGTCTAGGTTTCCAAATGAACTTGGCAGTGCAGGGAGTTTTGCGTGTTTCTTTGGTTTCCAGACCTGGAGAGTGGCGCGAGTTGTATTACTGGGGTTGGGAGCGGGGCAGTGGGTAGTCCTAAATGGCAACCCTGGGAAAATCGCTTGGCTTCTTGGAGCAGTGTGGTTTCTCAGGAGATCTTCCCTTCAGCAGTGGATGGTTTATGTCCTGGGTTTTCTGTTGTTTTTTTTACCTTCCCACCATGGTTTAGGAGCCCCACGTGAAGTAACAAAACCTGCTTCTGCCAATTCTCAGCTGTGTCACTTTGACCAAGTCACTTTACCCTGAGTCTGTTTCCTACTTTGTGGGGGCCAAAAACAGAAATACAGTAAGGCCTCACTTAACATTGTCTGTAGGTTCTGTAACTTTAAGCCAAATGATGTGTAAGGAAACCAGTCTTAACTACAGACTAATTGATATAAACAATGTTGAATGAAACAATGTTATTTAAGGATCTGCTGTAATATTTTTTATTAAGAGCACCTGGGCAGAGCTCCAGGTTTATGTACTAGTTCTCCCACTCACTTGCTGTGTGACCTCGGCCAAGTGATGTGATCACTTCTCTGATCTGCACCTTTCTCCCATGGAGATTTGATAGTAGTACTTCTGAGGGACCATTGGGAAAATTGGCTGAGAATATAAGCAAAGGCCAAAGCACAGTGCCTGGAACATAGTAACTGTGTCAAACATGCTAGTTCTTGTTAGCATGTGACCATCACACATTTCTCTTTGCCCCAGAGTGTCTTAACCGGGTGTGCCTGAGCCTGTCCCTCCTGCCTGAGGTGGGAGTTGGTCCATTCCTCTCTGGGACACTGCCTGGGAAGTGGTCTGAGCAAGCTCTGAGGGAGTGGCCTTCAGACAGAAGACACCTATCTGCAAGGGGGAAAGTAGGGGATGTCTGAACCCTTTCTGTATATTCTCTCTCAAGAAAGGAGGACCTTGGGAAGATGTCTGCTTTAAGTGAATTCCTTGCAAGATGGTAGGGTGCCAAACTTACAAGGCTGGTAGCCCAAGGACCAAGGCAAGACTCACATGTACAGTCCCTTCAACTCCCATCACTTCATCACACGCCCTTTCAAGGGGTCAAGGCTTTCAGACACCTTAGTATTGGTAGTATGTTTTCAGAGTCCTATTAGGGTCTAGAATCACTTCCTCAAACATGATTTCCTCAGGAAGCCTTTCCTCCCCCACCAGATAGGTCCCTTCTGCATATCCTTCTCCGGTCTCCTTTCTCCTTTGTATGAGCTTTTATCCTAATTATAATGTAACAATTGTATAATCAGGCATTTCTTGTCTGTCTCCCTTGCTGGACTAGAAACATTCTGTAGGTCACATCCCAGCACTGTTCTTAGCACTTAATAAGTGCTTGTAACTGTTTGCTCCTGTTGGCTTAGCTGACCTTTGTGAACTCTGCAGGCTTTGATGTCAGGTCTGAGGTGTGTGTGTCTGGAGGAGGACTCAGAAAGAGCCTCAATGAGCTGTCTCTGAAGAAGGGGTAATACGACCTGTCTCCCTCCACATGTTTTCGAGCAATCAGCTAGATCAGATGTGTAAAGCGCTTAGTTTAGTGCCCAGCTCACGGAGAGTTGTGGCACCACTCACACACCCCACCCCCAAGGCTGGTCAGAGGCTGCTTGCTCTATGTCTCCCTCTCAGGTGTCAGCCCAGGCAGGTATCTCTGAGTGCAGCAGACCGCAGCAGACCACAGCTGCCCACAGGATGGGTGTGGGGTAGCCTCTGCCTTTTCCCAGGTGGCAGACTGACTTCGCAGGTGTCTGTTTGAGTCCTGGAGTTTGCAGGCTGTGAGTAGGATACCAGGAATAAAGCTGGAGCCATTCCAAGAACCTGGTGTGTGTGGGGGACAGAACCCTTGGAAGCTAGACTAAGCTGAGTTCAGTCTCAGATTGGCCACTTGTCATCTGGTACTTAACCTTTGGAACCTTAATCTTTCCTTTAGTGCAACATAGAGACCCCCACCCCTACCCCCAAACTGATAAAGATTAGATAGAAACTGTATACAAGTGCCTGAGCTAATGTAAAAGTTAACATTTAGCAAGTGCTTAAGTTAGGAGCCAAGTACTGAACTCTGAGGTGATTATCCTCTTTTTACAACTTGCCTGAAGCCCTCCCTGTTGACTGGCCACCCAGAGGGCTGTCTGAATAGTGTTCCTGCTGTCCGGTGGGACCCCTCAGTTGGAACTGTTGCCATTGGTCTTCCCTCTGCCCATGCTAGCTGGGTTACCTTGGCTAGGTCTCCTGCCCCTCAGTCTTCCATCTCTTTCATCTGTAAAGTGGGGTGGAGACCTTGCCTTTATTAGGTGTGCTGAAACTGCATTGTCCAATACAGTAGCCCTTAGCCACATAAAATTTTGATAATTATTTTAAAATTTTTTAAAAGTTTTTTATTTTTATTTATTTTTAGAGAGGGAAGGGAGGGAGGGAGGGAGGGAGAGAGAGAGAGAGGCAGGCATCAATGTGCAGTTGCTGGGGGCCGTGGCCTGCAACCCAGGCATGTGCCCTGACTGAGAATCAAACCTGCGATACTTTGGTTCGCAGCCTGTGCTCAATCCACTGAGCTACGCCAGCCAGGGCTCATTTTTTTTTTATTTAAAATTCAATTTTTTAGTTGCACTAGTGACATTCCAGCTGCTCAGCCACCGTGGCTAGGGACTACCATCTTTATTGGATGAAGACTATTCCATCGCTATGGAAAGTTCTATCAGACTGCACTGTGCTAGACACTGGAGGTTAACAACAGGGAACTAGGGTCACCCTCAAGGTAAGAAACAACACAGTAGGACAGATTCTGTGATTGGGGGCTGTGGGTTTCCCGGGCCGTGGGCAGGCAGAAGGAGCTTCTCAATCCTGGTGAACCCCAGATGCAAAGCGTTGGGGCTATTGAGACCTTGAGAAGTTTAGAGAATGGGAATAGTCGGTTTGTATCACAACTCTGCTCTCTCCTTCCTGGCTCAGTGGCCAGAAGTGACTTGATCTCTCTGAGCTTTATTCCTCATCTGTAATACAGGAACTCCGGTAGCAGTCCCTGCCTTAAAGTGCATGTGAAATAAATGCTTAGCCAGTGGTAATCACGGTTGTCACCTACAATTATTATTGACTTACGGTTACTATTATTGACTCCCAAGGAATAGTGGAGGGCTGCTTTGGAGGTGGCATCTCTTGGCAGTTGGGACCCTTCCCTTTCTGCTTCCCATGAAGTTCTGGGTGTCAGGGTTAGGGAAGCCTTCAGGGCAGTGGAGTTCTGGATTAGAATCTCCCTGGTCTTGCCTTCAAAGCTTTGAAGTTTCTATTGTCTGGCTGGAATGCTGGTCCACCACATCTTTACAGGCCCTGCTGCCCAATAAACTCATTTAGATGTTTAGATACCAACTCAAAGTTCCCTCCTCAGTGGCTTGCCCTGTGTACTCAGACTACAGGATTGGGCACACACCCCTTCCATCATAAACTCTCTCATTGCCCTGTTTTACTTACTTTATATAATCTGTGTTTTGAAATCCTGTTCATCATTTGTTTATTTGCCTTTCTCTATTAGATGATAAATTCTACGGAGGCGGAGACTTTGTCTTTTTACTCCTGTACTGTTGTTGCCTGAAATGTGGTCATCAAAAACATTTGTTGAATAAACAGATTAATTTGGGTTCCAGCTGGAAAGCACTGAGCACAATGCCTTATGCACCCTGACTGTAAACTGTGCTATGCCCACCCAGTTAAATTAGAATTGCTGGAGATGGGGCCTTGGCATTGGTGTTCTTAAGAAAGCTTTCAAAGGGATTCTGAAGCACTGCTTGGGTTGAAAAGCCATGGTTTGAGCCAACACTGAGGTTAATAATGGCTAACTTGTATTAAGTGCTTACTGTGATAGATGCACTGAGGTAGGGGCCTTGTCTGATTAAATCCTTATGACTACCCAGTGAAAGTAGAGCCTGTTAGCCCCATTATTTGGTGAGGAAACTGAGGCTCACGTGGGTAGCAGACGGTGGTGGAGGTGTCCTCTGAGCACGGGCAGTGGTTGTCAAGAGCCCCTGTCTTCTACTGTGCTCTGCTACATCATCAGGGCTGAAAATGTCGGTGGATCCAGATCTGTCACTTAAAGACCCACAGGCTTCCTCCTTGACAGTGCATGAGACAGATTTTAGAATGAGAGGGGCACCCAAGGCTGTTTCCTGTACTTTGCTAGCACCCTGGTGGGCCCTCCTGGCTCCCCCCAACCCCCCAAACCCCCCTTCCACCCTGCCCTTCCCCACCCCACCTGGCTGTGGTTTTTTCTGTCCTCAGATCCCCTGAGGGGGAGGCCTTTTTTGTGGAGTCAGCAGTTCTTATCTCCCACACAGAGCTGTTAGGCTTTTTCTCTTTGGTGAGGGAGGAGGGAAGTTAAAACGTGCGTGCCTGGGGCTTATGGTGGTTTCTGTGCTGGACTTGGACGAGCCTGGCCTGGTGACTCCTAGAAGTGTGGGCTGAAAGAGGCCTGAGCGGTCAGCCCAACCACCTTGCATTGTTCAGGGTTAAGGCCCAGAGAGTTTAGGTTACTTTCTCAGAGTCACACAGCAAATTAGTGGCAGAGTTGTTATTCACACCCGGGACTTCCAGGTCCCGTTGTTCTTTCCTTTGCCCTCTTCCAGAGCCCCAGACCTCTGCCTCCCTCAGGGGGCTTTTGGCCATCTGAGAAGGAGGGTTCAGTTATAATCTTTAGTTCCTGGACACCTGGGTTTATTGGTAATAAGTCCGGATTTTAATGAAAGGGGAGAGTTAGGGGAACATCATTTCTGTCCAGTGAGGGTATAACTCTGCATTGGGTCACCTCTAGGGCCAGTGCTGAGAACCGCCTTTCCAGTTATCAAAATAACTAAGTAAAATATCCTTTGTGAACCTCACCTCTGGACATAGGAGCAGATCTAGTATGTAATTGGTGGCAGCCCAATAGGCTCTAATACGTGCACATCAGAATAGCTGCTCCTGTCAGCAGTGTACGCCCTCCCTTGGTTCCCTTGATGCCTCTCTGCTTTCTCTGTGTTCTTCATTCAGGGGCTACTGTGAATGGCCCGGCCCTACTCTCCACGAAGTGTGATCTAGTAGTAGGGAGACCTAATTCAGACAGTTAGAAGACAGTGTTTTCAGAAGCAAGGCACTGAGACTTGTGAGGGTCACAGATGAGGGTCTGAAAGATATTTCCCAGACCCCGGAAGACTGTGAGTTAGCTCTGCAGAAGGAGTGACTGGTGGGAGGGTGGTGGGCCAGAGCAACTCTTATTTATCTCAAAAGCTATGGGCATAGAGGCAGGGTTTTAAGTCAGTTAATCAGATTTGCACTTAAGGTCTACTCTGGCTGCAGAAAGTTTGCCCTCTTCAGAAACCACCAGGGTCATGTACTCAATAAATCTCCTAGTCCTAGAAGTGGGAGTGGGGCTTATTTATTCATTTGTTTTGTTAAGGTAGTAGAGGTTGGTAGGATAGGGCAGGGAGACCACTGGTGAGGCTGTGGTTGGTTGTCCAGAAAAAAGACAGTAGTGTTCTGTGAGGTGGTGATGGTGGGAGGGGTGAAGAAACGACAGTTTGAGGGTGCTTGGCAACTTGGCTTCGGGATGTAAATGAGGGAGATTCTCATATGGATTCTCCAGGGCTGCCAAGAAGGTGGTCATTTGGATACAGCAACACGGTGGCTGTATATTTCCCTTCCTCAGACCCTTCCCCCCATACTGGACTAAGCCTGTGGCGTGGACCCTCTCTTTGTTTACCCCATCTCCACCCACCGAACAGGTGTCTTATCTCCCGCCCGACTCCTCCATGCAGAGTGCACCCAAAAGGGGGTTTTAAACCTCAGTGTGGCCCCTCGGGTAGGAGGAGAAAACTGGAGAGAGAACTACCTACCCTTCCAGTCCTTCCTTTTACCTCCAACTGAGCCTGGTGTGTTTCCTTCTAGGAGCAGAGGGAGAGGCGGGTGCGGGGCGGCCCTCGGGGGCCCAGCGCCTTCATCCCAGTGGAGGAGGTAAGCCTGCAAGGGGTTAGGAATCCTTGGTCGCTGGGAGGAAGGGACATAGGAGTGGGTGAGGGCCTTTTCCTATTTCTCGAAATAGCAGTTTTGAAACTACCCCTTCAGGTTCCTGACTCACTCCATCCACAAAACAGCTCAGTGAGGCAGGTGAATCAACCTTATTTTGCTGGAAAGAAACAGGCCCAAAGAGATGATAACGTGATAGTGACCCAGCTAGGTAATGAACCAAGGTTTGGTTCCCAGAACAAGGCCCCCTTTTCCTCAAGAGGTCAGAGCTGTCTGTTTGTTTGTCTTCTCATCCTTGACTGTGCACACACCACAAAAATTTTTTTTTACTTCCAAAGTGTATGTTCATTATTTAAAAAATTTTCCAGTGTTTTAGAAAACTGCAGTCTCTTGTAATTCCTACCACCCCCCCACCCAGAGATAACCATTGTTTCCCAGACTTTTTTCATACAGAACCAAGGTCATAGTTTACAGCCTGTTTTAGGGGCAGGTTATTGTTTTGTTTTTTTTGTTTGTTTTTTTTTTGTTTTGTTTTGTTTTGTTTTTCACTTAATACAACAGAGACCTCTTTCATTTCCTGAGTCGGAGCATTCATTCATGTAACAGCTGTCTATTGAATGATTCCTGAGTCAGGCACTGTTCTGGGTACTGCGGATACAACAGGGAAGAACAAATCCTTGCCCTCAAAGAGCTGACATTCCAGGGCAGGGTTGGTGTGGGGGTGGGGATGCCTGTGTATGCTCAGAAAGGTTTTAAAAATAGTTTTCTTCTCTTTCTTTGGCCTTGAATGAACAAAGACAGATATTTTGTTTCCTTGTTCTTTCTTCCCTCCTAAACTTGTAGGCTAAGTAGTTAATTAGCTGTTAACAAATGGTTAAGCCCTCAGTTCCCTCCACCCTTTGTAAGTGGAAAGTAAACAACCTTGTTGCTGATTATTCTTGTCCAAAGCCCAGAATTTTAAGCTCAGGTATTGTTCTTGCATTTTATTTTTTCATTTAGAAATAACCACTCCCCTTTTATTTATTTACTTAATGTTTTTTAAGCCTCACCTAAGGGTATGTTTATTGATGTCAGAGAGAGAGGAAGGGAGAGAGAGAAACATCCATTGTTTGCCTCCTGTAGGAACCTGACTGGAGGCGTCAAGCCTGCAACCTAGGTATGTGCCCTGACCAGGAATCGAACCTGCAACGTAGGTTCGATGCTCCTACCAACTGACCCACACTGGCCAGAGCCAAATCCTATTTCTTTCCTTTATTAAAAAAGAGGATTGCTGTCCCGGCCAGGTGGCTTAGTTGGAGCATAAACCTGTACACCAAAGGGCTGCAGGTTCGATCCCTGGTCGGGGTGTGTATGGGAGGCAACCAGTCATTGTTTCTCTCTTTCCTTTCCTCTCTCTCTAAACTCAATACACATATTTTAAAAATTAAAAAGAAAAGAAATAAGCTTCGGGATTCATCTAGATCTGAATGCTGGTTCTGTCATTCACTAGATCTGGAACCTTGTAAAGGGAATGAAGCCTCTCTGGGCCTTGACGTCCTCGTCCATCAGTGGGGAGAAGTAGTGTCCTCCTCACAGCATAAATGGGAAAATTCAGTGAAGTGTGCAGGGGGAGCTCCAGACTCAGCCCTGGCCTGGAGAAGTCACCCAGGAAGTGCTCACTGTTTTGCACCCCCTTCCCACGGCTGTGCGGATTTGCAGTGTTAGCACAGAGCTGCCGTGAAGGCAGGAGAAACGGTATTTTAATCTCTGTGCCTGAGGTTTTTTATTTAAAAATGGAGAAAATAGAGTTCTTTTTTCTTAGTTGGTAAGAATTCAAAGGGTAAATGCATATAAAGCGCTCAAAACAGTACCTGGCTCATCTGAAGCATTATTTAAGTGTTGGCTCTTGTTATATATTATAGTGGGTATCTAACAAGTATTTCATCACTTAATGAAATATCTTTTACTCTCATATTCTCTTTTGGGACATGGTAGTTGTTTTCAGTTTCTTGCTGTTAAAATCCCACTGCAAGGAATCTGTCGGTCTTGGTGGGAAAGACAGGCAGGGACCCATCTTCTCGCCTCTGCTTGGCAGGTCCTTCAGGAGGGAGCTGAGAGCCCCGAGCAGAACCTGGGACTGGAGGCGCTGATGTCCTCGGGGCGGGTGGACAACCTGGCCGTGGTGATGGGCCTGCACCCCGACTACCTTATCAGATTCTGGCGCCTGCACTACCTGCTGCTGCACACAGATGGGCCCCTGGCCAGCTCCTGGCGCCACTACATCGCCATCATGGTGAGCCTGTCCAAGCCTGACTGTCAAGGAGGTGGCTGTACTGGGGGGTTCAGTCTGCACATCTTTTGCTGAGGACTTCCTGAACTGATTCCATTTATGAGGCGAAGCAGAGGAGAGCCCTGCATTTATCTGACCGTAGAATTTTAGATTTTGAAGGGAGGCATCTTTAGTGCCTGCTCTACAGCTTGGGAAACTGAGGCATAAAGGAGTAGATGACCTGCCTGAGGTAGAATAACAAACCAGTGGCAGAGTGGGGTTAGAACCCAAATGTCCTGCCTCGCAGGCAACAGCGAGGCCTGTGATGTCACCCTCCGTGGGGTACTCACCCTGAGCAGGGTGCAGAAAGAAGAGCGTGACCTAAGGCTCTGTCTACTCACCTCCACAGGCTGCCGCCCGCCACCAGTGTTCCTACCTGGTGGGCTCCCACATGGCCGAGTTTCTGCAGACTGGTGGTGACCCCGAATGGCTGCTTGGCCTCCACCGTGCCCCTGAGAAGCTGCGCAAGCTTAACGAGATCAACAAGTTGCTGGCACATCGGCCATGGCTTATCACCAAGGAGCATATCCAGGTGCAGTGGGCAGGGAGGCAGGACCCTGAGGCAGCACAGGGCCGGGCTGGGACATGGCAGGCAGCCCAGGGGCAAGCACTGAGCAAGTCTGGCCTTCTTTCCTCTCCAGGCCTTGCTGAAGACAGGCGAGCATAGCTGGTCCCTGGCTGAGCTCATCCAGGCCCTGGTCCTGCTCACCCACTGTCACTCACTGGCCTCCTTTGTGTTTGGCTGTGGCATCCTGCCTGAGGGGGACCCGGAGGGCAGCCCTGCCCTCCAGGCACCTTCGCCCCCCAATGAGCAAAGCAGCCCCCCGAGCAGGGACTCACTGAACAGTTCTGGGGTAAGTCACTGGCCTGGGGCGTGGTGGGAGAGGAAGCTGGCGTGGCCCGTCATCCTGTCGCACAGTGAGAAGCCTTAGAAAAGTTACTTGACTTTGAAGTTCCATTTCCTCATCTATAAATGAGGATAAAGACTGCTACTTCATAGCGGGTTTTGAGGATTAAATAATATAACCAGGTGACTGGCTTCTCAACATGTAGCGCCATAGACTTCAAGTCTCCTGGTTTCTAGCACTTCTAAAATATGAAGTTTGCCTCTTACTCTATAAGATGGCCTTGTTTTAATATGATGGTACAGATATTTAAAAACCCTCACCTGGGCGGATAGTCAATGCTCAGAGAAGACATGTCTGTTCTGTATCTTCTTAAACTTCATTTCGGGGAGCACAGCCCATGGGAACTGCCCATTCAGGAAGGGCTGGCACGTGGGAAAGACGTGTGGAGTTTCCGGGGCGGCCGAGGGAGGAGGAGCGGGTGGTCATCACTGAGTCCCCCCTCCAGGGCTTCGAGGCCGCCCGAGACGTGGAGGCTCTGATGGAACGCATGAGGCAGCTTCAGGAGAGCCTGCTGCGGGACGAGGGAGCATCCCAGGAGGAGATGGAGAGCCGCTTTGAGCTGGAGAAGTCGGAGAGCCTGCTGGTGACCCCCTCAGGTACAGGATCACAGACATCCAGGCTCCAGGGGCTGCCCCCCATCTTTTGCCGTCTCTGCTGTGGAGTAGGCACCTCCATGCACTGCATCTCTTGTATGCTGGGGTCAGACCTGGGTTTGAATCTGGCCTGTTAGCCTTTCTGGCAGTGTGACCACCGATAAATCACTTCCGGCCTCAGTCTCCTCCCACATGAAAAATTGATGTGTAGGGCAAATGGAACAAGAAAAGCAAAGCCCTTAGCACAGAGCCTGGCCCAGGGTAAATGGCTCCATAAATAACTGCTGTTGTCACGACTGCTGCTACTATTACCTAGTCTCATCCCCAGGTCCATGGGCCTGATTCACCTCCTCCCCCAGGCCTGGCTCCAGCTGGAGTCCTGGTTCTGCTCACTGTAGCAAGGGGCTTTCTCTGGCCTTCTCCTCTGCGTTGCCTGGCCCCGTTGATCAGTCAGGAGTGGAGACCTCTGTGCTCCATGCCTTGACCTCACTGTGACCTCTCTCTCATGTCCTCAGCTGACATTCTGGAGCCTTCTCCACACCCAGACATGCTATGCTTTGTAGAAGACCCCACTTTCGGATATGAGGACTTCACCCGGCGAGGGGCTCAGGCGCCCCCCACCTTCCGTGCCCAGGTGGGCTCTCCCAACTAATCTTGGCATTGCTCTGGATTTACAATCGGGGGGGGTGGGGGAGATGGTTTGAGTCATTAGAGTTGGGCACCTTCTTTCCCTCAAGATTCCACGAGGGAAGTGGGAGACCCTGGGTCGTGAAGGGGCTTATCTGTGTCCCTCTCGGCTCCTCAGGCCCAGACCAAGCAGTAGGTTAGATTTGTGGGGTGGGGAGGTGTGCTCCAGAGGATGGGGTCTCTCTTGGGCTCCAAGATTCCACTTATTCACCCCTTGCCATGTTTCTCAGGACTATACCTGGGAGGACCATGGATACTCACTGATCCAGCGGCTCTACCCTGAAGGAGGGCAGCTGCTGGATGAGAAGTTCCAGGCGGCCTATAGCCTCACCTACAACACCATGGCCATGCACAGCGGCGTAGACACCTCCATGCTCCGCAGGGCCATCTGGAACTACATCCACTGCGTCTTCGGCATCAGGCAAGTAGCGGCCCTGCATCCAGGCCGTGCGCGCACTGCGGGTCCTATCTGCACTCACAGTCGTTTCTTTTTCCTCTTCTCCTTCCTTCCTGCCTAGACTGTTTGTCAGAGCACATTTATTTCTTTGCTGATTTTAAAAAATAATAGATGTGCTCACTATTGTCCAAGCTTTGTAAATGAAACTCTTTAACCCCACCCCCTAGAGATAACTATATATCAGAGAGAGCGAGTTATGCTCGCATTTCCATCCCAAGTAGCAGTTCTCTCATAATAAATATGGACAACATAAGTGCCCATCAGTAGGGTCCTTTAGATGACGTATCCAGTCAATGAAATACTATACAGCTATTAAAAATTACAACAATGGTCTGTTTATAGTGTCATGGGAAAATGTTCAAAGCGTATTGAGAAAAAAGAAAGTTGGTCACCATCCAGAATCATCATTTTCTTTTCTTTTTTTTTTTTTAATAAAAGTGTGTGCATGCGTGAAAACATGTGGAAGTCTGTACCCCAAATTGTTATTCGCTCGTGTTGTCTCCATAGAATATGTAATGAGTGATGAATTATATTTTCATCTTGTTACCTAAATACTTCTAATTTTTTTAGTATCTTTTTAAAAAAATGATGGGATCATATTTGAAATATTCTACAAGTGGGTTTTTTACTTAGTGATCTACTGCCTCTCTTGTCAGTATAGGTAGATCTTCTATGTTTGTTACCGCTGAATCTACTGCATGGGTGTTCTGTTTTGGGTATAATATAATTATTCAACCATTTTTCTGTTTTGGGGTATTTATGTAGTTTGCAGTTTTTCACTACACAAACACCATGCACACTGCCTAACTAGTCTTATACCTAACTCCTCACAGGTAAACCCTAGATGTGAGGTTACTTATTAAGGATATACCCAGAACAATTGTTATTATTTTTTATCTTTTAAAAAATCACACTTTGCCCTGGCTGGTGTGGCTCAGTGGATTGAGTGCCACTCTGTGAACCCAAGGGTCGCTGGTTCGATTCCCAGTCAGGGCACACGCCCTGGGTTGTGGGCCAGGTCCCCAGGTGGGGGCACGTGATAGGCAACCACACATTAATGCTTTTCTTCCTCTCTTTCTTTCCCCCTTCCCCTCTCTCTAAAAATAAATAAAGAAAATCTTTTTTTTTAAAGTCACACTCTGATAACTTTGTGGGACATTCAGAGACTTAAGGAAAAAACAATTTCCCAAAATTCTATTCTATAACCACATTTGCACCATGTGACATTTTTCGACATTGCTTTTTTAATGTAGTTGCTTTTTATATCGTTGAAATTATTATGGTAATTTCATTAAAATATATATATATGTGTATATATATTTGATGTTAGTAAAGAGAAACAGCCTGAATTTTTAGTAAATTTAGAAAACAGATAACAAAAAGGAGAAAATAAAAGCTATCCATGATACCACCCACTCTTATTATTGTCAAGTATTTCCTTCCTGTCTTTTTTCCATACACAAATAACCAAGATGTATATAAGTTTATGAAAACAAGATTTTCTTGCCTGTGAATTTCACTCAGACAGTATATTTTAGTGAACACATGATTTTTTTCCTTGCTTTTCTCATTTAACATTTCAATTCCAAACATCAAAAAACAAAAATCAGTTGGTTAGAGTGTCATTCCGATACCCCAAGGTTACTAGTTCAATCCCTGGTCAGGGCACATACAAGAATCAACCAGTAATGCATAAATAAGTGGAACAACAAATTGATGTTTCTCTCTCTTCCCCTTCCTCTCTCTCTAAAATCAATTAAAATGAAATATCACACTGTAGTCTTATATACACTCAGATGTGGGAGAAAGAAAAAGAACAACTTTAAAAACCTATTTTTGAAAATTACCCCAATGTTTAAAAAGGCACAGATGTGTATTTCTGTGTATTACTATCTTAATCAGATTTTGCTTGGTGGGTTGAGCTTACTCACTTGGCCGACACCCTGCTGGCCGTTGGCAGGTTTCTCACCAGGAGATCAAAGATGGATGGGTACAGGCTAATTCCTGCCCAGCTCTCAGGTCCAGGCCTCTCCATTCTCCAAGACGATCTTTGATCCTGTACCTTTGTCTTCTGAATCTGTCCAACAGTTTTCAACCAGTCTTTCCCACCCTCACTGATTTGAGATGACTCACTGGCTCACAGGGCAGGGGAATGGCAAAGCAGCTTCTAGACTGGTCACCGACTTACTTTTTGACATCAAACAAGTTAATTGCCTTCTCCAAGCCTTACTTTGCTCCTCTGTAAAATGGGTACCAGCTCCTTTTTGCCCTTTCCTTCTCCAGGGTAAATACTCGCACTGACTTCCCAGCCCATCTTCCATAGCCTTCACAGTAGAGTAGTGAATATGACCTTGGAGCCAGGCAGAACTAGGTTCCAATCCTGTTCCTGGCTGTGTGACCTAGGGCAAGTGACATTACTTCTCTGAACTTCAGTTTCATCTATAAAACAATGTTGATGATTGCCATGTATTGTATCTAGTAGTTTTGTATACAGTAGTTGTTGAGTACTCCATGAGTATATGTTCACATGGTACAAAGTTGGTACCGAATAAAGCATGCTTATTCTCTATGCATTCATTGGCCTGTGATATACGGCATGAGCTATTTTTCCAAGAGGAACCAAACTCCCAATTGCTTCCTCTCTTCTGCCTTTTCTCCCTCCCTTCCATCTGTTCCTTCCTTCCATCCTTCTTTCCCTCCCTCCCTCCCTTCCTTCCTTCCTTCCTTCCTTCCAAGTTATAAGAGAAAGTTACAGAGGGAGTAGAAGAGAGTCAGCTGGACCATGTAGGCTCAGGAAGCAAGAAGCAAAAGACGGGCCCTCGGACCTTAGGAGAGAGAAAGGCAGGGAGCAGTGTGCCTGAGAGAGAGAAGGGAAAGGCGCCCTTCTGCCTCTTCTCCACACTCTGTTCCTACTTTCATAGGGTGGGGCTAGGGGAGAGGAGCTAGTTCTGGAGCCAAGGGTGAGTGATGCTATTGGGGCCTTTTCCTCCAGGTACGATGACTATGACTACGGGGAGGTGAACCAGCTCCTGGAGCGGAACCTCAAGATCTATATCAAGACAGTGGCCTGCTACCCAGAGAAGACCACCCGAAGAATGTACAGCCTCTTCTGGAGGCACTTCCGCCACTCAGAGAAGGTGAGGGTATGGCCAAGGGGGAGGGACAGGGTGGAACTAGGTCAGCCTGGCTGATAGAGGGTGCCCGGGGGTCAGGACCCAACGAGGTACCCCAGTCTGAGTCAGTACTGCTGGTGGGATACCTGAGCATATTGGCCTGGGCGTAAGCCCCATTCCACTCGTGCTTTCAGACTCCATTTACTCACCTGTGAGGTGGGAATGTGCTTCACAGGGTCCTCAGTGGCAGCCAGGGGGACCTGGGGTGAAATCGTAACACTGTAACTCAGTAGCAGTGTGACCTTGGGCACGTCACTCTGCCTCCCTGAGCTTTTTTGTCTTTACAATGGGAATACATACAACCTGCATTTCAAAACTGCTGAGAGGATGCAATGAGAAAATGAATGTAAATGTCCAATCCCAAAGAGGTGCTCAGTGGCAGTTCTTATTTTTAGCTTCAGGGGATAAAGAGATCAGTCACAATAGGGGCGATCGTTGAAATGCCTCAGCAGTCATTGACCCCAGCGGTTCCAAGCCTTAGGAAAGGGAAGGATGAGGTGGGTGGTCAGGGACAGTAGCGATGTGGGAGGGATGGGGGTGGGGAGAACGGACATCTGTCGCTGACGAGCCCTCATCTGTGCCCCAGGTCCACGTGAACTTGCTGCTCCTGGAGGCCCGCATGCAGGCCGCCCTGCTCTACGCCCTCCGAGCCATCACTCGGTACATGACCTGACTCCTGCCCAAGACCTGGGCCTGGAGCAGCTGACCCTGGGGATATCATCGTCCCAGCAAGAACTTCTGTGTCTGGAGACAGACCCGATCCCTTTCTGTCCCACGCCCGCCCACCACGCTCTGGGGGGGTGGGCTTTTGTGTGCCATGCAGCCACGCCCTTTGTTTTCTCACTGGAATGGACAGGATCTCTGGGATCTGAGCTTTGTCCCCGGCAGCTGGAAGAGGACTAGCAGATCCCCAGGGGCCATGCCCCTTCTCCTGCCCCTACACCCAGAGGCAGAGGGCACCGGAAGTAAAATGGGCTGACTTTGGACCATGCGCCCCCAGGGTGGGCCCCAGGCTCCGCAAGTACTGTGACCTTCCTGGACCGGGAAGGTCCTTCGCCGGCCCCCAGGGAGAGAGGCAAACAGGTCCAGGAACTGACACTCCAAGCAGCTTTCATTTTCCTCCTCCCTCATTCCTTTCTCATTTACCTCTCACCTGCCATTCACCCATCAATGTGAAAGTCAGGGTCACAGCTGGTCTGTGCATCCAGCTCCCCAAAAACCCGTTCTGTCAGACAACCTGAAGGCCCCCTGTTTCCTGACTGCCCCAGCCCTACTTCACTTCCTTTGACGTCCTTTGCCCTCCTGCCCTCCTCTCCCACACCTGGTGCCCCACGAGAGCGACCGAGTACTTCAAACCAGTAGGTTATCATTAGAGGATTGGAGTAGCTCTGTTGGTCACCGCTTTCTGAAGAGTAGGAAGTATTAGAGTCTAAGTTCTCTGTATTTTGGTCCTTTATGGGTGAAATTCAAACCTCTTCAGCGGCTCGCCTCTGAAGCCATGGTCAGTGGCAACAAGGAGGCGGAGGGCGGGGCAGTCTGCTCTGTCCAGAGCTGCACCTGCCCAGCACCCTGCCCTCCTGTCTCCTGTGGCTCTGCTGCACACGTTTGCCAAAATCTTGATCCTTTCTAGGTGGCACATGGCCCAAAGGGAGAGGCAGGAGATCCCCCGGTTCTTGTTTGGACCCTGCCACTGGCCAGGTGACCATGGCGATATTGCCAAAACTCCTTGACCTCTATCTCCGAAGCTGCATTGCCGACCGAGAGGTGGGGCTAAGTTCCATGTCTGGGTTTCTCAGGCCACCCTGCCAGCAGTGAGCCACAAATCTTGAAGGATTTTGAAGGCCCCTGGGAGCCCCCCACTCTTGCAGTCAGTCTCCTGGCTACCTCCAAGGACCATCCAGTTTCTGTCCCCTCTCCTCAATTTTAGGTGGATTGCTTGGAGGCAGAAGCAACCAAGGACTGATCCCAGGCACTTTTTGTAGCAAATAAGCTGTGAATTATGACTTCCCTTGCCCTTTTTTCAGTAGTATGTGACTCCTCTCTGACCAGTTTGGAGGTGACTGAAAGAAGCCAAAGGCCAAGATGCTGCTGGCTGCTGCGCTCCTCTCTGGGCTGGGGCAGGGGAGGGGCCTGGTCGGTGTGCCGCATTTCTTCCCCATGCAGGCGTGGGGATGTGACTGGCACCCCCGCAGGCCTCTCGGCCCGCCCTGCAGTGAAGTTGGGCTGGAGGGAAAGTGCCCCAGCCCTGGGGTTCGGGTTCGAGAGGGGACACGATGACTCTGTAAATGTCCTGTAGGTGGGTGGGGAGGGCTATTCAGTGTTCAAGAACAGAAGTCTTTGGCTTTGCTACCAGTTCTGTATGATGAGAAATAAATGTTCACCAAGGTTTTGTTTTGTACTCCTTGTTAATGAGTTGTTTTTCCATTTCCTAAGGGTCATGGTTCACCTGTTAGCAGGAAGCTATGATTGCATCATGGGCCTGACCTGCTAGCCCCAACCCTCCTGGGCACTTGTGCCCGGCCACTGCAGACTGGGAGTGGTTGGCATTGAAACTCTGCTTCTGTACCTGTGTTTATCTAGCCATTTCACCCATCAGGGGCAGGTCAGGCACTATGGGAAAATAATGGCCAAGTTATTTTTCTCACTAAGCCTGGTCCTTCACTGGGTACTTGGGGGCCATTTTTCTCATTTGCAGCAACTCTTGGAGAGAATTGAGATTCAGAGGTAAAGTGACATTGCTGAGACCACAGAGCCAGTCAGTGGTGGAGCCGGGATTCCAACTAGGGCCTGCTTGACACTGGGCATTTCACACTGCTGTTTTTTCCACTACTGGGCTCCCCCTGTGGCAGACGGAGGCTGTTTGAGAATCTCTGGGGACCCACTTCTGTGCCCTGCCCCACCCACCGCATTATGGTTACCTGCTTCTCATCCTTCCTTCTCTAGCTCCAAGGAGACAGAACTAGACCTAATGAGTGAGATGTGACACCCCCCCTCCCCGCCCCGAGTGATGCCAGTGCCAGGGGTCAAGCTTCTGAGCTGCTCTGGGCACCAGGAACTTGAGTAAGCTCAGAAAACCCACACGGTAACTAAGAGTAAGCCCTCTCCTGCGGTTTTCCCCACTTCATAAAGTGAAAAGGGCGACTTCCAGGAAGCCCCACCCCACCCTGACTGACTTCATGTCCCCTTTCCCTCTACCCTCTTCATTTTTGCTGTTCCCAGTAGGCTCGGTCTTCCTTCTACAGTCATTTAAGAGAATGTGAAGGACAGTAAACCAGACTCAGAGTACAAAACCTGGATTCTGGTCCAGACTCCGTCGCTTATCCAGTGGCAAGGGGGGCGGGCGGATGTGGGGGCCGTGGCAGGGGGTAATTTCACTGCACCTCTAGTTTCCTCTCCCATGAAAACAGGCACAAAACGCTCGCGTTTCTTTTCCAGCTAGTGTTACTGGGTGTTGCCAGATGTTTTCAAATTGAATCTCACTCTTTACAACCACCCTGGGAGAAAGGAGTGGTGTTCCATTTCATAGATGTAGGAAAGGAACCTCAAGTGAGAGTCTAGGGAACAGCAACGTGACAGACCAACCTGGGCTCAGATTCCAGCTTCGACGTGTGACGTCTGTCTGACCAGAAGCAAGTTACTTCTGTTCTCCCTCCTCAATCTCCTTATCCGTGCGCTGGAACTCATACCTCGAGTCAGGAGGGCTGTGTGAACTCAATCATGCGTGAGAGCCACCGACCACAGTTCGGGGGACCAGCACACAGCACTAGTGAGCCATTTAGTATTCAGATACCTGCCCAACGTCACACAGCTGAGGAAGGATTTGAACCAGTGTCTGATTCCAAAGCATCACTTTTGTCCCCAAACTCCCTGTACCCTCAATCTGCTTTTTAAAAAAATCACATTCAAGGCATTTTGCATGAGGCATTGAAAACTCTTGATCCCAGACTGGATCTAATGAATTCGCTTTAGACCTCTGCAACCTACAATCCGGGGACCTGGGCACCACCTACCCAGGTTGGAGTTGGTAGAAGGTTGCTGGTGGCTTTCTTGATTGTTCGGTGTTTGAAGTCATGCTCAGACTGAGAACAGCTGAGAGGGAGTAGAAAGGATCTGGGTGAGTCTCCTCCAGCAGGTTTCAAACGTTCATTGGAGCCCTAGGAAGAGTGGGATGAAGACGTGATTCACAAGCTTTTTGTGCCTCAGACTCTCCTAGAGGACCGGTGGTCGGAGGTGGAGCTCAGAAATTTGCATCTTTAACAGCTTCCCTGGGGTTCTGATACCCAAGCCACACTTCCATTCGATTGGTGTTGTGTACAAAATATGTAAATGCTCTGGACATCGAGCAGTGGACAAAGCAGGCATGGCTCCTGCCCTCTTGGCATTTACTGTCTAGTGCAGGAGACACACATTAGATCATTACACAACTAATTACAGAAAGTATAATTGCCCCTGGCTGGTGTAGCTCAGTGGATTGAGCGCAGGCTGCGAACCAAAGTGTCGCAGGTTCGATTCCCAGTCAAGGTCCATGCCTGGGTTGTAGGCCATGACCCCCAGCAACCGCACATTGATGTTTCGCTCTCTCTCTCCCTTCCTTCCCTTTCTAAAAATAAATAAATAAAATCTTTTTAAAAATCTTAAAAAAAATTATAATTGTGATCAGTTCCTCAGAGCAGAAAGATGAGGTGCCTTAAGAGCGTTTGCAATCTAGCAGCAGAGATTTTCTTCCAAGGAAATATGTCAGATTTTTGCAGAAACTAAAACATACCCAGGAAGGGCAGTTTCCTACCCATCCATTGAATCACCTCCTTGGAACCCGAGGGCTCCATGGAGCAGTTAGAAAACCACTCACCTACATTCCTCTGTAACGGATGCTGTGGTGCGCAACCCAGACTGTGGCTCTCATTCCTTCCCACACTCCCACTCCACTGGGAACGACCTCAGCTCAGTCCCTCTCTGGGAACTGCCCTGGATCAAAGGGAGCTACCTAGTTCATGGCTATGCTGCCTCCAGGCTGTCTGCCTGCAATGACTGGTTGAAGAGACATGGGTGTACCAAGGCGTGGCCCCTTTTGCTCCATCTGAAACAACTCTAAAGCATTATCCCAGCTCTAGCACTCCCTTTAGGATCAGCCGAGGCTGGCGATGCAGCCCGATTTCTCGAGTTCAGCCCTGCTTCGCACTGTTCTATGATATCGATCCCCTGTAAACCAACCCCCTGCATGCAGCTCCATCTCGGAGTCTGCTTACCCAGGTACTTAACCTAAGACACTTATTACAGATGGTGAAATCAAGACCAGAGAGGCAAAATGACTTGCTTGAGGTCTCACAAGCCTGGACTTTCAGATCCTCTTCATGGTCACCACTCTGGGTCAGAGTCCTGACTTTCTCTTCCTGAGATCAGAGGCAACAGCCGCAATGGTCAAAGGGCCAGAATAAGTTCTCACTCCCAGGGCTGGAGACTGTGGGCAAGTCACTTCCCCTCTCTGGGGAGAAGGGTAAATACACTGCCTGAGCGCTTCATCTTCTCTCAAGTCAGCCTGTGTGCGATCCCCTGGTCGTGCAAAAACCCACGTCTCAACTCATGTCATGTAACCATGGTTACAGCAGAGAAATTCTTCCCTTCAGGTCTGAATCACTTCTGACCTCACTGTTGGTTCCAGTTGCGGGGAGTCTTGACCTGTCCCAGTTCTGAGTAGCTCAACTCACATGTCCAGAAGGAACCCCTTTTCTTTGTTCATGCCAACATCCTCAAGTGCTTATTTGGTCCCAGACACTGCCAGGTGCTGGCAGCACAGCAGGGAAGGAGCCAGACATAGTGCCGGCCCTGGAAGTCCGGTGGAAAAGACTAACATCACACAAAAACTTGTGATGAGTCCCGGGCAAATAAAAGGCACAGGGAGAATGAGTGAGTGCAGCAGGGGAACCCCCACATTCAGAGTGGGAGTTCCCAGAGAAATACCCCGGACCTGAAAGATAAGAAAAGACCGGCCAAGGATGGGAGGGAAGAAAGGAGTGTGGAACAAAGATTTCCGGCAGGGGAGACAGCCTGGGAGGAGATGCGAAGCTTCACTGCCTGATGAGGACAGAGAGAGCAGCGAGGATGCGCGGAAGGGTGAGGCTGAGAAGAAAGCCTGAGGTAGATCTGGCTTGGCCTGGCAGGGTGTGTTAAGAATTTTGGACTTTATCCTGCGGGCAATGAGAAGTCTTCAAAGGAGATTTTATTGTTTATTACAAAACAGATGTAATGGACTGAATGTTCATGGCCCCCTCCTGTTTATATGTTGAAACCCTAATTCCCAGTGTGATGGTATTTGGAAATGGGGCCTTTGGGAGGTGATGAGGTCATGACCTTGAAGCCCTCACGATGGGAATGCAGCCCTTACAAGAAGAGAGAGGAGAGAGCTCCCTCCCTCTCCTTCCCTGCCATGTGAGGACCTAAGAAAGACAAAGGCTCTCATCGGGAACCAGACTGGCTGATACCTTGTTCTTAGACTTCCCAGCCTACAGAACTGTGAGAAATAAGTTTCTGCTGTTTAAGCCACTCAGTGTAAGGTATTTTTGTTATAGCAGACCTAACTGATCATGACCACAGGTAGTAGGAGAAGTGGCAAAGTAGAGGGATTTATTGAAAACTTTCTAGTCTCCAGGTACTCCATTAAGTACTTCTCAGGCATGACCTCATGACCTCATTTAACCCTCACGACAGCCCTGTATAGTTGAGCCTAGTGTTGCCTATTATCTCCATTTTACAGATGGGCAAAATTGAACCTGGACTCCAAAATCCTCTCATCCAAAATGGTCCCTCAAACTCCCATTCCCACCCAGGGCACACATCTTCCTCCTTTGACCTAAGCTTATCAATTGCTTCTGCTTTTTTCTTTCTTTTTTTAAAGATTTTATTTATTTATTTTTAGACAGAGAGGAAGGGAGGGAGAGAGAGAGGGAAAGAAACATTAATGTGTAGTTGCCTCTCACAGGCCCCCCATCGGGGACCTGGCCTGCAACCCAGGCATGTGCCCGGACTGGGAATCAAACCTGTGACCCTTTGGTTCTCAGGCCAGCACTCAATCCACTGAGCCACACCAGCTAGGGCTGCTTCTGCTTTTTTCTAAAGATTTTATTTATTTATTTTTAGAGAGAGTGGAAGGGAGGGAGAAAGAGAGAGAGAGGAAGAAACTTCGACCGGCTGCCTCTCATACACGCCCCAACCAGGGACCGAACCTGCGACCCAGGGATGTGTCTTGACCGGGAATCAAATGTGCTGCCTTTTACTTTGCAGGACAACGCCCAACTAACTGAGCCCACTGGTCAGGGCTGCTTCTGTTTTTCCAAGGCATTTTTTTTTCTGTCTAATATTATAATCATTCATGTGGCTTGCTCATCTCCCCACTTGACAGCA